CAATAATTAATATTTGGGAGAAACAATTGATATTTTATTTTAAAAAATATCAATTCAATACCTTAAATAAATTTATATCACATGCATACCTTCTTTCTCTTGTAAAATTTCAAATTCCTTTTGAACTGAAACTGACAATTTTTCTAGTTGTAAATTTCTTAATTTCATATGATTATCAGCTGCTTTCATTTCAGTTTTTTCATTGTGAAAAATAATATTTCCATTTTGCAATTTTTCCATGAACTATATTTTAAAATATAATTTAATAATAATAATTAAAAATCTTTAAATATAAAAACAAAATTATATACATATAATGTATTCTTATAATTATATCTATATATTAGATACTGTCTTATGTAATATTATATTTACAGTTTAGAACAGAATCAGTTTTATATAAAACAATGTTGACTTTTTACTATTTCCTTACATGTACATTTCACATAAATGGCAATATTTATTTAGCATAATTTCAATTTATCATTTTTAATGATACTATTAATATCAATAATAATAATAATAATAAACTATATTTGAATTGAATTGGCTTTGTTAAGATGTAGTTCCAGTACATTATGGGCTATTCGTTCACAACTTTGCTCATTTTAAGCAGGTCCAACTGCAAGAATGAGATGGAGAAAAATATCCTAACTTGAGTTTTCCATTAAAAATGTCTTAAAGTCTGGATTGAATTTGATTTCTGACTCTTAACAGAGTAAGTAAATAGTATGCATAATCATCTAGTCAATTTCATCTGTAGTTCTAATTACAGTAGAGCGTTGATTTTCCAAATCAATTGGGGACTGGGGTTGTCCGGATAACTGATTTACGTACGAAAAAATAGTTTAACGTATCCGATTTCGAAATTTTTCTCCATTGCGTGTCGCTTTGCGTTGAATTTTCGTCGATGTTAAGCCTAACAAAGACTATTGTATCGTTAAAAATTATTCCTCTATTTTGTACAAACAAAAGAAATATATTGAAAAATATAAAAACAATAAAAAATTATACTTCAGAAGTTAATTTAGTATCAAAAACGTAAAATATTTGAGTAGCCCAAGACATAGTCAAAGATTGC